GGTGTCACCGCCATGGGGATGCAGGTGTCACCGCCGTGGGTGTCACCACCGTGGGTGTCACTGCCATAGGGACATGGGTGTCACCGCCATGGGGACATGGGTGTCACCACCGTGGGTGTCACCGCCATAGGGACATGGGTGTCACCGCCATGGGGATGCAGGTGTCACCGCCGTGGGTGTCACCGCCGTGGGTGTCACTGCCATGGGGACATGGGTGTCACTGCCGTGGGTGTCACTGCTGCGGGTGCCACCGGTGCCACGCAGCGCCGGTGCCCCGGCTCACGGTGGGGCAGGAACCCGCGCTGCAGCGCCGCGGCCACCGACCGGCACCGGGGACAGCGGGGACAGCGTCACGGGTGGCACGGGCACCCTGCCACCCTGCCAGCACCCTCGGGGGCACCTCGAGCAGCGGGAACAGGTCCTCGTCCTCGTCCTTGTCCTTGAGCTCGTTGCACTTCTGGATCAGCGGCGGCATCAACTTCTGGATGGACTCCTGGGGACAGGGTGGCACCAGGACAGGGTGGCACCAGGACAGGGTGACACTGGGGACAGGGTGACACCGGGGACAGGGTGACACTGGGGACAGGGTGACACTGGGACAGGGTGGCACTGGGACAGGGTGACACCGGGACTGGGTGGCACCAGGACAGGGTGGCACCGGGACAGGGTGACACTGGGGACAGGGTGACACTGGGGACAGGGTGGCACAGGGACAGGGTGGCATTGGGGGGAGGGTGGCACAGGGACAGGGTGGCACTGGGACAGGGTGGCACACGGGGACAGGGTGACACTGGGACAGGGTGACACGGGGACAGGGTGGCACTGGGACAGGGTGACACTGGGACAGGGTGCCACTGGGACAGGGTGGCACCGGGGACAGGGTGACACTGGGACAGGGTGGCACTGGGACAGGGTGGCACTGGGACTGGGTGGTATGGGGACAGGGTGGTATGGGGACAGGGTGACACTGGGGACAGGGTGGCACTGGGGACAGGGTGGCACCGGGACAGGGTGGCACTGGGATTTGGGACAGCTTAAAAGGGTTTGGGACACCCAAAGGGATTTGGGGTCACCCAGAGGATTTGGGGACACCCAGAGGATTTGGGGACACCCAGAGGATTTGGGGTCACCCAGAGGGATTTGGGGTCACCCAGAGGATTTGGGGACACCCAGAGGATTTGGGGACACCCAAAGGGATTTGGGGACACCCAGAGAATTTGGGGACACCCAAAGGGATTTGGGGACACCCAGATGATTTGGGGACACCCAAAGGGATTTGGGGCCACCCAGAGGATTTGGGGACACCCAGAGGATTTGGGGCCACCCAGAGGATTTGGGGTCACCCAAAGGGATTTGGGGACACCCAGAGGATTTGGGGTCACCCTGAGGATTTGGGGTCACCCAAAGGGATTTGGGGTCACCCAAAAGGATTTGGGGTCACCCAGAGGATTTGGGGACACCCAGAGGATTTGGGGTCACCCAGAGGATTTCGGGTCACCCAGAGGATTTGGGGACACCCAAAGGGATTTGGGGACACCCGCCGCGCCCCGAGGCCCTCAGAGCACAGAGATCCACAGGGGGATTCGGGATTCGAATGTCCGTGGTCATCACCGGGCTGGGGCCGCTCTGGGGCACATTTTGGGGCAGTTTTTGGGGATTTTGGGGCAGTTTTTGGGGGATTTTTGGGCTGCTTTTTGGGGATTTTGGGGTCCCACCTTCGGCGATGTCCCCCAGCAACAGGATGCCCTGGATCAGGGGCTGTTTTGGGGCTATTTTTGGGGTTTGTTCAGGCTGTTTTTGAGGCTGTTTTGGGGGCTGTTTTTGGGGGATTTTCAGGCTGTTTTGGGGGGGTTTTGGGGTTTTTGGGGTCCCACCTTTGGCGATGTCCCCCAGCACCAGGATGCCCTGGATCAGGGGCTGTTTCTGGGGGTTTTGGGGGGATTTTGGGGGTTTTTGGGGTCCCACCTTTGGCGATGTCCCCCAGCACCAGGATCCCCGACTCCTTGCCCACCCACTCCAGGTGGAAAAGCAGCTCCTTGAGCAGCGTTGGGCCGAGCGCTTCCCTGGGCCCCAAAAAACGGGCAGGGGTCCCAAAAAACGGCCAGGGGTCCCAAAAAATGGGGGGATCCCAAAAAACAGGGCGCCACCCCAAAGCCCCTCAGGAACCACCCCAAAAACCGCCCCAGACCACCTCAAACCCCTCAGAAAAATCCCAGAAACACCCTCGGAAAACACCCCCAAAAAAACTCCAAAAAATCCCAAAACACCCCAAACCTCTCAGGGTCCACCCCAAAACCCCCCCTAGGCCACACCAAACCCCTCAGGGGCCACCCTGAGCCCCCCAAGACCACCCCAAGACCCCTTGGGGGCCACCCCAAACCCCTCAGGAACACCCCAGAAACACCCTCAGAAAACCCCCCAAAAAAATCCCAAAAACTCCCAAGAAATTCACCAAAAAAGCCCCAAAAATCCCAAAAAACCCCAAATCCCCCAGGACCACCCCAAAACCCCCCAGGATCATCCCAAAAGCCCCAGGATCACCCCAGACCCCTCAGGAACACCCCAGAAACACCCTCAGAAAATATCCCAAAAAATCTCCACAAAACCCAAAAAAAACCCCAAAAAGCCCCAAAACACCCCAAAACCCCCCTGGACCACCCCAAACCCCTCAGGGGCCACCCCAAAACACCCAGGACCACCCCAAAACCCCCCCTAGGCCACCCCAAACCCCGCTGGACCACCCCAAACCCCTCAGAAACACCCCAGAAACACCCTCAGAAAACCCCCCAAAAAAATCCCAAAAACCCCCAAGAAATTCACCAAAAAATCCCCAAAAATCCCAAAAAACTCCAAACCCCACTGGACCATCCCAAAACCCCCAGGATCACCCCAAACCCTGCAGGACCACCCCAAACCCCTCAGAAACACCCTCAGAAAACCCCCCAAAAAACCCCCAAAACCCCCAAAAAATCCCCAAAAATCCCCAAAACCCCCAAAAAACCCCAAAAAAATCCCCAAAAACCCCCAAAACCCCCAAAAATCCCCCAAAACCCCCAAAAATCCCCAAAACGCCCCGTGGGCCTTACGCAGGTAGCACGGCCGGACGTCCTGCTCGCCGTCCGGCGCCGCGCCGTCCTCCTCCGCGGCGCCCTGCGGCGGGACACGGGACCGTGTCGGGACGTGGGGTTATCGTGACATGAAGCGGGATATCGTGACATGGAGGTCACGTCACGACACGGCGGCCGTGTCGTGACGTGGAGGTCATGTGGTGACATGGGGTTATCGTGACATGGAGCGGGATATCGTGACATGGAGTCGTCATGTGGTGACACGGAGTCATTGTATTGACACGGAGATCATGTCGTGACATGGAGATCATGTTGTGACATGAAGATCATGTCTTGACACGGGGTTATCATGACATGGGGCAGGACATCGCAACATGGAGGCCGTGTCATGACACGGAGTTATCGTGACACGGGGCGGGACATCACGACACGGATGTCACGTCGTGACACGGGGGTCGTGTCGTGACGTGGAGATCCTGTGACGTGGGGGTTGTGTAGTGACACGGAGGTCATGTCATGACATGGGGTTATCGCGACACGGAGATCATGCCACGACATGGAGGCCGTGTCATGTCACGGAGTCGTCGTGTGGTGACACGGAGTCATTGTATCGACACGGAGATCGTGTCGTGACATGGAAATCGTGTCGTGACATGGAAGTCATGTCGTGACATGGAAATCGTGTCGTGACATGGAAATCGTGTCGTGACATGGAAGTCGTGTCGTGACATGGAGTTATCATGACATGGGGCAGGACATTGCAACATGGAGGCCGTGTCATGACATGGAGTTATCGTGACGTGGGGCGGGACATCACGACACGGAGGTCACGTCGTGACACGGATCTGACATGTCGCGACACGGATCAGGCAGTACGAACACAAGAGACCATCAGGGCTCAGGGCAAGGCTGTCATCATCTCCGGGCGCGCCAGTATGGACCAGTATGGACCAGTATGGACCAGTATGGACCAGTATGGACCAGTATGGACCAGTATGGACCGGTATGGGCCAGTATGGACCGGTATGGACCAGTATGGACCGGTATGGACCGGTATGGACCGGTATGGACCGGTATGGACCGGTACGGACCGGTACGGGCCGGTATGGACCGGTATGGACCAGTATGGACCGGTATGGACCGGTATGGACCGGTATGGACCGGTATGGACCAGTTACACCAGTACGGACCAGCATGGACCGGTATGGACCAGTATGGACCGGTATGGACCAGTTACACCAGTACGGACCAGCATGGACCGGTATGGACCAGTATGGCCCCCCAGTGCCCCCCCAGTGCTCCCAGTACAGTTCCCAGTGCTCCCAGTACAGTCCCAGTACAGCCCCAGTACAGTTCCCAGTGCTCCCAGTACAGTCCCAGTACAGCCCCAGTACAGTTCCCAGTACAGTCCCAGTACAGCCCCAGTGCTCCCAGTACAGTTCCCATTGCTCCCAGTACAGTCCCAGTACAGTCCCAGTACAGTCCCAGTGCTCCCAGTACAGTCCCAGTACAGTCCCAGTACAGTCCCAGTACAATTCCAGTGCTCCCAGTACAGTCCCAGTGCTCCCAGTACAGTCCCAGTGCTCCCAGTACAGTCCCAGTGCTCCCAGTACAGCCCCAGTACAGTCCCAGTGCTCCCAGTACAGCCCCAGTACAGTCCCAGTACAGCCCCAGTACAGTCCCAGTGCTCCCAGTACAGCCCCAGTACAGTCCCAGTGCTCCCAGTACAGTCCCAGTACAGTTCCCATTGCTCCCAGTACAGTCCCAGTACAGTCCCAGTACAGTTCCCAGTGCTCCCAGTACAGTCCCAGTACAGTTCCAGTACAGTCCCAGTACAGTTCCCAATGCTCCCAGTACAGTCCCAGTACAATTCCAGTGCTCCCAGTACAGTCCCAGTGCTCCCAGTACAGTCCCAGTACAGTCCCAGTACAATTCCAGTGCTCCCAGTACAGCCCCAGTACAGTCCCAGTACAGTCCCAGTGCTCCCAGTACAGTCCCAGTGCTCCCAGTCCGACCTTGAGCAGGATGCTGTCGATCTCGGAGTAGCGCATCCCGTGCACCAGGATGGGAATCAGCCTGCAGGATTTGGGGTGAAAAACGGGGATTTTGGTGAAAAACGGGGATTTGGGGCGAAAAACGGGGA